CTGAGGAGGAGGAGGAGAAACAAGATGAGTGTCGATATCAGAGAGGAAGAGAAAAGAAACATGCAATTATTCCGAGTGTTCAGAAAAGATGGAAAACAAGGAAAATGAACTCTTCCTCACAGAGTCTGTGTGAGTAAATCACTCCAGAAACAAGCGGGAATAAAACATCAGAGTAAATATGGCTGTTAAACATCATCCATGTCGCTATGCTGGGTTAAACATCTGAATATTATCTTCTCAATAAAACATTAATAAACACACATTTGTCTTCATCTCAAAGATAAACAATGTCACATTTAACCTTCTTGTTTGGAGATGTTGCCAAATCTGCAGGTTTGATTTCCCGTCTGGGCTAAATTTCTTCAGATTGACACTTTAAATGTTGAACGTTAAATCAAAGAGAAGAAGGAGTGATTGAGGCAGCGTGACGACGACGAGAATAAAACAAACAAACAAACAAAAAAAAGCCCAAAGACGGAAAATCAGTTCACAGCAAAAGGAAAAGGAGTAAAAATCACACACACACACACACACACACACACACACACACACACACACACACACACACACAAAGGTAAACACTAGGCTGAGCTCAGATGAGTCCGGTATGTAAGGAAACGTAAGGAAGAGCCATCAGGGGAGCCGTCTGCCCCAACAGCAGCAGATCCACGGCAGCAGTTGGGACACACAGCACCCAGAGGAGGGAGGACGAGGGCCCCCACCTACACCCAAGCACTACCTGGAGAGCACAGAGGCCGCCCACTACCGGCTCTGAGGCAGAGGGCTCCCAGAGAGGAAACGCTGTAAAGTACTACAAGTAAAAGAATAAAATAACAAGAGGTGATTTAAAATGAATAAATAGAGATCAATATAATTGTAGAAATAGTAAGAAAATATAAAAATATAGATATATAACAAAACTGTCTTAAAATATAAGCAAGTAAATCATAAATAATGATCAGTAAATTTCCAAAAAGGTGAGCCTTAAGCCTGCTCGTAAAAACATGAACATTCTCCACGGCCCTGAGGTCCTCTGCAGCCTGTTCCAGAGACGAGGGCCATGATACTGGAAGGACGCCTCCCCATGGGTCTGCGTCCGGACTTACTGGATCACAAGGAGACGGCTGCCAGAGGAGCGCAGAGGCCGCGAGGGTTTGGGTGGTAAAATCAGTTCAACACTGATGCGCTACCTTAAAAAAACCGACCCTGCTGCAGCAACTCAGCTAGGCACGCCGACACTAAAGATACATTAATAAACCAAGAAACAGTCTACGGACAGCAAAAACGCCAAGATGGCAGCATGTTTATCAGACTGATGAGCATCTGTGGCTGCAAATGTCGGGTTCTGCCATCTCCTTGGGTCGTGGTATGATCTGCTTTCTCTTCCCACCTTTACAGACGCAGCAGCTCTACAGGTGCTTAGTAAAAAAAAGTTCAATTCAATTTTATTTATATAGCGCCAAATCCTGGTCTGATGCGAAGAGATGGCATCCATCCCTCTTTGGATGGAGCAGCTCTTCTTTCTAGGAGTATGGCCAGTTTTATTAGTCCTCCATGACAACCCAGGGTCCAGACCAGGAAGCAGAGTCGTAGTTTAACACACCCCTCTGCAGCTTCTGTACTGTTACCCACCCACTACCCCATAGAGACAGTGTCCTGCCCACGGCCAAAACCACACAGATTAAATATCAGGCTTAATAAAGCAAATCATGGAAATCTCATAAATATTAGAACTAATTCAACTGAGCAGAAAACTAGAAAAATTAAATGTGGGTTGTTGAACATTAGATCCATTTTTTCTAAGACTTTGTTGGTTAATGACTTGATTTGTGATAATCAGATCTCTTTGCTCTCTCTGACAGAATCCTGGCTGCAGCAAGAGGACTGTGTTAGCTTAAACGAGTCGACTCCTTCAAATTATTTAAATCATCATATTGCTCGAAGTGCAGGGCGAGGAGGAGGAGTGGCAACCATTTTTCATTCGGACTTATTAATCAGTCCCTTACCAATTAATAGCTACAGTTCGTTCGAACGTCTTATTCTTAGTTTTCCTAATCCAGATTGCAAAACTATAAAACCACTCTTGTTTGTAGTTTTATATCGTCCACCAGGCCCTTACTCTGAGTTTTTGGATCAGATCTCTGATTTTTTATCTGATTTGGTGCTAAATACTGATAAGGTCATTGTAGTGGGGGATTTTAACATTCATGTGGACATTGAAAATGATAGCCTCAATGTAGCCTTTAGTAATATCTTAGACTCAATTGGTTTTACTCAAAGAATACATAGCTCCACCTAATCCTGCCATCATACATTAGACCTTGTGCTTACTTATGGCATAGAGTGTGAGGAAATAACGATCTTTCCACATAATCCAGTCATCTCGGACCACTTTCTGATAACCTTTGAGTTTTTTATAACTGAGTTTTCGAGACATGAAAGTAAATTTCACTATAGTCGGTCTCTATCTGACAACGCAGTTGCATCTTTTAAATCAACTGTTCCATCTTTACTGTCCTCAGGATCTCAGAGGCATGTAGCAGAGGGCAATATTTTCAGTTCTAACCCCTCACAAATTGATGCCTTAGTTCATCATGTGAATTCCTCTTTACGTGTGGCATTAGATGATGTTGCCTCTTTAAAAAAGAAGGTAATTAGGGACAGGAAGCTGGCTCCCTGGTTTAATTCTCATTTACGAGCCTTAAAACAAAACTCTAGGAAATTGGAGAACATGGTGCTCTACGCACCAGGAGGAGGCCTACCTATCCTGGAAAAATAGTCTTGTGCTTTATAAAAATAAGCTTCAACAAACTAGAACTACTTATTTCTCAGCATTAATTGAGGAGAATAAGCATAATCCTAAATTTCTTTTCAGTACAGTTGCTAAACTTACACAGAATCATAGCTCTGAGCCATCTATTCCCTTAGCCCTCAGCAGCAATGACTTCATGGGATTTTTTACAAGTAAAATTAATTCTATTAGAAACAAAATCTTTAGCATCCTCCCTAATGCAATTTTTTCTTCCTCAGTAAGTGAGGCAGCATCAGAGGTGACTGTAGAACCTCATCTGTGCTTGAACCGTTTTGATCCAGTTGAGCTTTCAGAGTTATCAAAAATATTAGCTTCATCTAAACCTTCAACTTGCCTTTTGGATTCAATCTCAACCAAATTATTTAAAGATGCATTTCCTTTGGTTGCTGCCCCTATTCTAGATATAATCTATCTATCCTTAGTAAATGGGTATGTACCACAGGGTTTTAAGGTTGCTGTAATCAAACCTTCACTTAAGAAGCCTTCTCTGGATCCAGATGACCCAATGAATTATAGACCAATATCTAACCTTCCCTTTTTATCCAAAGTCCTGCAGAAAATAGTGGCCATCCAAGTATGTGAGCATTTAAACACTAATGCTCTGTTTGAGGAATTTCAGTCTGGTTTTAGAGAGTATCACAGTACTGAAACTGCATTAGTCACTCTGCTGCTGACCGTCATGCGCCGTGCCATCCCTGTCGTAGAAAACAGCCGCACACCGAGGCTACTTTTACATTTATCCTTAATATTAACACTTTTCTTTTTCATTTAAATGGTAAATGACAATTTATTTTTACATATATAAATATTAGCGTTCCTTATGAATGTACTTTCCAAACAAGTGATATTTTATGGCAAAACCACTAAAGAAACGACATAAATACAGAAAGAAAGAAATGCATTCATGATTAAAAATAGCTTCAAGGACAACTCAGTGTGTCCTAAAGTACCAGATCGGGACTCGGTTTCAGCAGATTCTTAAAGACAAATGTGACTCGGACTTGGATCGGGAGCAAAACAACATGATCGGAACAGCCCTACGAATAATTATACAAAATGTATCTAAAGTCACCTAAAGCCCTCTGATTGGAAGTTTCTGTAATTAAAGCAGTCCTTCCCCGTTGGAATCAGATTGTCTCATTTTTCGTCCGACTTTAAAGCGTCCCTCATCACTCGCTTTGTCCCGGTTTCTTATTATGTCTTCCTCCCTGTGTCATTAGTCGTCACACCCTCGTCCGTTCGTCTCAGTTGTGTTTGCTGCCGGCAGCAATCAGCCCCAGTGGGGTGTCGGTGTTCTGGATGACTTCGAAGCATCTCCTCTCGCTGCTACTGTTCAAACACCGACACGAGCAGACCAGGAATGAATCAATTACTGAATTATGGCTCCAAACCACGCCGTTTAGCATCAGCTGGGCTGTAAAACACGGTTTAAACCAAAGGAGGAGGGAGAACTGGAGATGCTGCAGCTCTCTGGGCTTGTCCCTTCAGGTGTCTCCACAGCCAATCATCTGTCTCCATTCTGTTCCTCTGCCCTCACACAAAATAACTCCATGTCCTCGTCCACCACATCCACGAGCTCTACACGTTTACCACTGATTCTGAGACAAATAGAATGTTCCACGCTGATGCTTGGACACTGTCAACCACACAGCCTTGTTAAACAGGCTGAAGGTTCTGGAGGGAACGTGTATAATGTCCAAAACCATTGTATGACTGTCTCTTGTGCAGTGGTCTGTTATGGCTGATTTCATTGGACTTTCTGGTTCTGGTTTTGGACTGTAACGGACGGGGACAGCACGCGGGTCGTTCCGGTTTTGGACTGTATAACGGACGGGGACAGCACGCGGGTCGTTCTGGTTTTGGACTGTATAACGGACGGGGACAGCACGCGGGTCGTTCTGGTTTTGGACTGTATAACGGACGGGGACAGCACGCGGGTCGTTCTGGTTTTGGACTGTATAATGGACGGGGACAGCAGGCGGGTCGTTCTGGCTTTGGACTGTATAACGGACGGGGACAGCACGCGGGTCGTTCTGGTTTTAGACTGTATAACGGACGGGGACAGCACGCGGGTCGTTCTGGTTTTGGACTGTATAATGGACGGGGACAGCAGGCGAGTCGTTCTGGTTTTGGACTGTATAACGGACGGGGACAGCACGCGGGTCGTTCTGGTTTTGGACTGTATAAC